ACATAACCTGGCCAATATTCATAGTATGAGAAACTTCCAGGTTCGGAAACCGCATATTTGTACAAATTAGTATTCGCTGCTGCATAAGCACTCTCCTGCACATAATTTGAAGCAATCACTTACATTGTTCTAAACATCAAAGGAATAAGCAAAAAAATAAAAGCACTGACATTTTCCTCCAAATTCAAGTCCAAGAGAGTAACCTTGAGATTCTAATCAAAACATTTTCTGAATCTAGAGAACAATGTTATGCCAACAGAAAAAGGCAGAAACTTTATTATGCCCTTGAGTAAATTCATGCAACAATTAAATCTACAGTGGAGAGGCTTGTATATAAGCCAACTTAATACATGGTGTACTTTCTGAAGTATTGTTTGGATCTTGAAAAAGGCATAGGCCTGTGTGAAGTTGATTTTTAGAGAAGTGGTTTTGTGAAAATTGATTTTTTTGGAGAATGTGTGGTCAAAAAGTAGGGAAAAATTATGGGGAAATTTATGAAAAAATATATATATATATATATTTTGAGAATGTGTGGCTGGAAATGAGCGTGGTGAAAGAGTGCTTTTGAAAAAGTCAATTTCAAACCGGGGCTTAATAACTATTAAAGCTAGACTATTTCATTTGAGCCAATCTTGAACAAGCTTCTGATGAAATACATCTGACTTGAGCTTTTGATGCTTTTTTGGTCAATAACACGAGCTAGAGCCCATTTTTGAAACTCAACTATTAAACATCTCAACAGAAGTCAAAAAATATTTAGTTCAATGTCCTTTGAAATGGAACAGCTAATAATGTACCTGAACATAAGGAGCATCTGCAAAAATGAAATTTCCATGATCATAGGTTAGACCTCCGAAATAATCCACAAAGCTTCCAATTGAATTATAAGGCATGGCATGGTTTGGATAGTGAACTTCCATCTGTGAGTTCCAGTTCATTTTTGACAAACAATTTCTGATGCACCAAAAAAGCAAAGATCAAACTTATCATTGTAACTCTTATTATTCCAATAGTTATTGAAAGAGTTATGTATATCTACTATAATATCTTTGCCAAATTCAAGCACATCGATATATCATATATGCCACTAAAATCAATAAAATTTGAGAAAATGTGAATTAAGCTCAATAGCACTATTTCCAGTTTAGTACATTTCTGCAAATCCTGAAATGAATTATCAACCAACAACTTTTCAGTAAAAGAGTTCCAAAATATTTGCAATGCATATTGTAATTAAATGATAATGTACGTTAAAAAATAACTACATTTATTTTCACTTGTATAGGAAAAAAACCAAAACTGACCTGTTTCAACTCAAATGGGTCAATATTTAGATTTCTACTGTAAAATTTAAATAAATATAGAATCTGAAGAAGATGATAACTAGACAAAGCCGAAAGAATTAACAAATATCAAGAAAATACAAAAGCATTGACATAATTTTCGAATTATTTTCCCAAATAATTTCATATATTGCTAACAAAGCAATAGAGAGACTCTACAGAGTTAAGATTTCGTGCATTTTCCTGAAAATTAAACGGTTCCTATCAAATTTCAACACCGAGAAGAAATTAAAATCAATACCACGTTTTTATCAGCGATAAAACAAACCGCTAATCTCCGAACATAATTCAACACAGGGAAAACAAGTCAATCGAACAATCACCCAAAAGAAACACAGAGTAAAAACAAATACAATGCTAGAGATTATATTTAATACAAAAAAATAGATTCTCGAAGGATTAAAGAACCGACATTGATCGCTTTCTGAACGTCAGTCTTCAGCTGATCAAAGCAAGATCCCACTCTACCTCTACCTCTCTCTCTGTATCTGTATCTCTATCTCTGTGTAGAGGTCATGAAAATGAGAGGCTACTGTGTTTTATTTTATAGATGGACAAAAATACAGAACATCAGGGTAGTGAGAGTTGATAGAAAGGGACAACACAATTTGCACAAGGTACAAAACATTGTCTTCTCCCCTCCTCTTTTGCAATTATTAAAATTTCGTTAACTTCCATAAACTAACGAGACGAGCAAGCACGTTCACGTCTGATAAGTAAAGTAAAAGAAACCGGCTATCTCCTTTTGCCTGCCTTTTTTTTTTTTTCCTCCGATAATTACATGGGACCATAACTCCTCAATGCAGAACTCAACAACCAATACTTCCAGTTTCCAGTAAAAGGTTCTTCATACGAGGTGAGCATTCATTTTTTTTAAGGGAAAATTGCAAGAGTCATCTCAAACATTTGGATTTTTAAGCAGGCTTTACTCTAATCTTTAGTTTGTATTAGCAAATGTCCCAAACCTTTGATAAATTTGCAATTGGAGCCCAAATAGATGGAATCCATCAACTTTTTCGTTAATTGACCCAAAAAATAATTTTGATTATATTTTAACAATTTTTAAAGGGGTAGAATGGTAACTTCACATTTTCTTATCATAAACAATTAAAATAATAAATAAAAAAAGGACAAATAAACTGAGCCCTTGTTTGAGCTTCATTATTTGAAAAAAAAAATAATTTTAGAATAGCGTTTTTTAGAAAATGTGTGGTTAAAAAGTAAAAAAAAAAATTGAGTTTATATGTAATATTATTTTTTTTAAAAAAAAAATATGTGGTTGACAAGAGGAGAGTGAAAAATGAATTAAAATTTAATGGGGTCCAAACATGGGATGAAACTTCTTTTCCAACCCTACATCCTCTACCCTCGCTCCCACAATCAAAATTTAACCTAGAAAAACCCACCTCCCACTGTCAGCCATCGCCTCACCATTTGCTGTTGTTGCCCCCTTCACCACTACTACCACGTCAAATCACCAATCACAACTGTACCGAAATTTCGAGAATTCATTCTTTCAAAATCCCCAATTTCGCACGTTTAGTCCTAAATTCGAAAAACCCATTTTTCAAATTCCCAAAATTTTGGGCTGTAACCTTCAACGCTATGAAGAAAACTCTATATCGTCTTCTTGTCCTAGTATTTTCAATGGGTTCCAGTGTTATGAGACCCACTTTAGGGACATAACCTCCAAAATAATTCTTCTTGGTACAATTTGTTACGTAATATGTGAAACCTTGGAGCTTGTTCAACACTTGGATAATTGATAAGTGTATTTCATACACTTATTCGGACTCTAAAATATTGACATTTCATAATCCTTTTAATGAAATTATAGCCTAATTTATTATATAATGTGTTATTAGGTGAAATTCAATGAATGAAAGTGGAATTGGAAGAAAGAAACGAAAATGGGGCAAGATCCAAAGATTGGGGACTAAAGTGTAAATACTTAAAAGTTGCGTCACAACTCACGATGAAGATTTGAGAATGATAGAGGTCAATTGAATGCGATTAGAAGTCAAAAGGAGTGAAATATGATCAAAATATTTTCACAAATCAATTTTCAGTCGCACAAGGATATTTCAGATTTTTAGCCTAAAATTGATACCCATTTTTGCTTTGGTAAACGTTTGAATTGGAAAACATCGAATTCTAGTAAATTTGTATCCCTTTGAGTTATTTTTACAAGCCAATTTGAATCGCCTCAATCGGATATCGAGAGAAAAAATTATGATAAAAATACTAAAAGAAGTGCAGTATAAAATTTTACCAACGCCACCATTCTGTCATTGCGGCGCCAATCCCATGCGTCAAGGCGCAACCCAGGTGTATTTAGGGTGCTTTTTTGGTCTGTTTTGAAACCCATAAAAACCCTACATTGGACACAAACGTGGGGAAAAGAATAAGTACAAGTTTTTGAAACTTTTAAGGGAGTTCCACACAATTTGGGGGGAGAAAAACACATAATCATCGAGATAAAAGAGTAAAAGATAGGTTTTGAAAACTTTTAAGGTTGAAGAAGATTCATGATGCAAGATCAAATTCTTTCCACAATCAAAATTTCAAAACTTGGTTATGAACTTTATACTTTTTTTTTTTATTATTATGAGTAGTTAAATTCATAGTTAGGGCGATCAATGTAATCTATGTGTGACCATTTATTTCTTTTATTCAAAATTCTAATTCTTTAAATGAATATATGTTGATTTTATTCATGAATTTAATACTTTGAATTCTTTAGTCAATTATTCAATGATTTTGTGAATCTATTACAAATCAAAATGTTAGTTTTAGATATAAATCACATCGTAAAATTCAATAATTTATTATAACGTGTAGAGATACATATACTAATTATTGCGATCATTAGATGAATTCTTAGAACTAATACTTCGTTTAACTAAGATTGATCATATAGAGATATGAAATTGAATTAGTTAAATAGACTCCATAAGAACTCGAGATGGATAAATTGAATACTTTAGAAGAATTCAACCAAACACTA